GCCGTCCTTTGTTGCCTCCTGCAACACCCTTCCTGTTGTCGGCAGCTCCTACTTTTCGGCTGTCCACTCTCTATCTCTTGGCCAACTACGATCGAGCCCCACTACTCTCTCTGCTGATCATTTACACATGCACTCGTCACCTCGTTGAGCCACGCCGTACCATTGACGTCTGAATTTTTCTTATCGTTATCTAGCCGCAACGGAGTTCCTCTCCTGTCTCTTCTGTCTGCACAAAACAACACCGCGATACCTCTGTCTCGGCACCCGCCTCCTCTCTGTTTCAACCCCGACTCCGACGTGGAACTCGAGATTCGTTAAAGAACCCGACGACGACGACGACGACGACGACAATTGGTACCGCGGAGCCGCAGAAACAGCAGTGTGTGTCAGGAAAAATGGCTGCCACTGTCTTCTGCTGTAATTTTCTGCGCAGACGTCTCTCTCGCTTTCTCGACCGTCGTTCCCTCCTTTTCGCTCTCCGGCGAAACACCGTTCACGTACGTCTTCCACGGCCATCCAATGAGATACATACACGCATGCGCGCTACGCTCCTGTTTGAGGAAGTATAGATGCCTGGTTTTTGGGCGATTCAAGCGCTGTTCGCATTGCAATTCTGCGCGACATTGAAATTTGAATTTGAATTTTGAATCACGATGTTAAGAACGCTTATTACGTCATATTACATTAATTAATTGGGATGATTTATTGAAAGGAATTTGAATTATACACGTGCAACAATTGTACATCTGATTTCCACAAAATGACTAACACGTTATCGATATCGTCGCCATAAAGATGACGTAATAAATTAAGTTATAAAAAGATTTCTACAATATGATGGCTGAAATTATGGTACACGAACGTGTACGATTCTAGTTGCGAATTAATAAATATTGAATCATGATTTGAATATTTTAAGATTTTAAGATCATTCATTATTCAGTAATACCATACACGAGCTTTTACATAAAAACATCCCTAAACATTGTAGTCACCATACGTTCGTTCATGTAATTTAATTGTTTATAGTCGTTGTAAAACAATAGTGGAATATATAAAGTCAAGGAAATAATTTCAATGAACTTGAGAAGTTTCCACAAACTTAAAAATTTCTAGTAATATTGCATAAACTGGGAATTCAATTTTTCCAACTACAAAGCTATGAATGTGAAATTAATACATAGGTGATATAGTTCCAAAAAACTACTACGAATTCGTATTTGTTTTTTCCTTATATTTTCATTAAAATGTATTTGTGTCTTAAACACAATTTTACGTGTTATATTTTGAATATATTATTACATTTTGAACATGTTACATTACTCTGTCGTGAAGAACAATTATCTAGATAATAATTTTGCATTGTTGATTTTATATTGAATATGATATATGAATTATATTTGAATACGATATATGGATTATATTATACACTCGTGCAAAATGAATCATAAATCAGTGCTTTGTAATTAACGATTATTTATTTAATTAATTAATAATTACTTAATTTCTATTTATTTAATGTTAACTGAAGTAAAATCATCTATAAACTATATTAACAAACAGACCAATTTATTTAAGAAAATTTACTTACAACATAAAATTAAAAAGAAATAGTTTATAATAATTTAGTTTTCAATTCACTAGATCCTTGTAGTCAAGGTCATATACATTAATTAAGTGTCAATATTTTAGTTAAAGTATCAAGTATTTTAAATTTAAAAAAGGTAAAATATATTTTTTGAATTAACTTTTAACGCAAAAATAAAATTGAGTATGTATTGTATTATATATCTTTTATATAAGGAAATGTGTATGCTACGTGGCAAATTGTAATAATTGACAATTGCCCTAGTGATCTTTTTATTCTCTTTATATTTCATTCATGTGGTAAGTAATATTAAGAGAATATAATCTTTTTTTTTAATGTAATAATTTCTATACATTTCAGATTTTATAACATCATATAGAGAGAAATAATACAATCAGATAATAAATACAAAAACTGTAAGTATTTAAATGATAATCTAGAAGTAAGTTCTGTAAAATTCTTTATCATTATATACATAGCTTCTATAAAAGTAAGTAGCTTCTATAAAATTTCTTATCATTAAAACAGATATTAGAGATAAGTATGTTGATAAGATCTATAATAAATAACTATGAAACTAACTTTTTTAAGGCATTGTAATATTGGTCATAGAGTTGTGTGAAAGTACTACGAGAAATTATTTTTTTCAGCAGTTGGAAAAATTATGGCGAATATCAATAAAGAATATGGAAAATTAACAGAAATAAGTGCTCATTTTACAGAGGAAACATTAAAGGACATACTACGTGTCGTATATAATGGAAAAGAAGTAAATGTATTGAGCTGGGACTTTGATAAAACAAGTAGCAAAGGTGACAATTATTTGTCAATCATTTATAAGATAAAAGTTATTGGTACTGTAGATGGAAAAGAAATAGAAGTTGGTTCAGTGATCAAAGGTTTACCAAAGAATATAGGCAGAAGGAAGACATACAGGAGTGCAGAATTTTTTAGCAATGAGATTATGTTTTATACAAAGGTAAAAAAATATTTCATTAATTCAATATATTTTTTTTTGCATTTAATACATGTTTTTAGATAATTCCACAATTTGATACATTTGTGAAAGAAAAGCGTCAAACTCAATTATTATGCATTCCTCGTCATTTTGCTTCTGTTATGGATGGTGAAAATGATTTTATAGCATTGGAAAATGTTACTTTTTTGGGATATGTACCAATTGCTAGACAAAATTCCTTGACTGAAGCACAATTCAAGATTATTTTGGAAGGTTTAGCAAGATTTCATGCAATTTCTTTTGCATTTAAAGATCAGAAGCCAGATAAATTTAAGGAAATTGTAGGATATTTGCATGAAACATACTATAGTGATGAACATTGGAATTGGTACAAAAGATACCACGTAAGATTAATATTTTTATAAGCATTGATTTTAAAAATTGTAGAATGATATTAAATGATATTAAATACTTATTTTTAGGAGAAAATAGTAGATATTGCTAAAAATGCTTTAGCTATAGAATATCCTAATAGTGAAGCAGAAAAAAAATTCAAGCCATATAAAGCTGAAGACTTGTTTCAAAAAGCAATCAAATTGTGCAATCGTAAATATCATTCAACATCTGTTGTTAGTCAAGGTGATTCATGGCTTCCAAATTATATGGTTCGCGAAGCTACCAATGAAGTTATAATACTTGATTTTCAATTGGCAAGATGTGCCAGTCCAGTTTTGGATCTTTCAACTTCTTTTTATTCTTGCACTGAGAAACCTCTTTGGGATGAAAAATTTGATACATTTTTAAAATATTATTATAATGAATTATCGAATAATATTACTTTGCTTGGATCTAATCCTGAAAACGTGTATTCATGGAACACGTTTATGAAGGAGGTAAATTATATTAATATTTCTTAAATATGATGGGATTTCTTGATAACATAAATTGATTAATTATAGATAAAAGAACAATTTGTATTTGGTATGATATTTGCAATGGAAATAATTACAATGATTTTACTCGATGATACTGATGTATTTGACTTAGATGTTATAAAAGATGATAATGGAGTAGACATAGCTGATATATGGACAGTGTCAAATATTAAGACAAAAGAAGGAAGGCTTAGAATGGCTAATATGGTTGTACATACTGTTCAAAAAGGATTTTTATAATCACAAAGACAAGTATATTTTATACATAATGTTTATTAAATGTGTAGCATTAAATAAAATAGAGACAATCTGTATTTGTATATTTTCAATTATAACAACACAGTTTAAGTAAAATATAGTTCATATAATAGTAGATATAGATATCCATTATTCATTCCTTTGTGAATAATAAGTGTTTTAAAATTTTTTCTTTATCACTTATTTAGATTAACAAAAAATAAAGGAAGTTTCACAAGATCGTTTCATTTACATTTATAAAAGAACATCTATTGACAGAAAGTACAGTTTGTAAAGATGAGCATATCTATGAATTCACATTAAAATGCATTCATATTAAAATTTCATGAAAGCAAATAATTTTATATGAAAAAATATTAGAAGTACGTGATGTATACTTCCATCTTTAAATAGCATCATATTTAGGAAAAATATTTTTACATAAATTGAAAATTTTTGTGACAAAATAATTAGTGTACTCTATATCAATGGTTTTTATAAATTTTGATGCTCAACATTATTTGTTAAAACATTAGTGGCATCAAAAACAGTAGTATCCTCATCATCCTCCTCATCTAATGGCAATGGTCGCATCTCAACATCTTGTCTGTGTGCTAGAATACCATATTTTCTGACCATTTGGGCACGTGTTTTATTTAACCTATGAAACAATGCATGAACAAGAGACTTAACTTGAAGATCCAATCGTCAACTTGATAAATAGCAACTATTGGTTTTAAAACGTCAATCAATTGCATCGTGGAATGAAAATTTTGTAATAAATGCTAAGTACCTAAAGCTACGGAACACGATATAGGCCAAGACAAGAACGCTTAGCCCCACAAACACATAAAAACCACGCTTCAGAGCTCCAGCATTTAAAGAAGTTGCATGTCCTTCACCCACATGCTGTTGAAAATTCACATTATATTAATGATTTAGTAGTAGAGCGTTTGAAATTTTTTTTTTTTTAATGTTTAGGTACATGAAATCAAACCCTTTTTGGTTAGATATACTGCAAAATTCAAAACAGAATAGAAACTAAAGAAACACTGCTCCAAAGAGATTTTTATATTTCTTTTATCAAGTTTGATCAACTTCAAACACTAACCTCTTTACGCGTTCCTGTAGTGTACGCAGTTTTATTAACGTCCACCTGTTTCGAGGTTATATTGTCCGTTTTGTTAACCTCAGAAGTCGTTGTGCCACCGGCTAATAGTGCATTTTGTTGATGCTTTTTCCCATCTGTAGAAATATGTGCGCTATCTTTTCTCGGGGTTTCAACACTTTTATCTAACGATGGTTCAGGTATAGCCCTGTCTATTCTAAAATTTCCATTGCATAGTGCACTCTGTTCTAATAGGAAGATCAACAAGAATATCAAAACCTTTATCATCTGGATCCTCGAGTATGTCATTGTTTCGTGTCATTTGTAAAAACAAATTCTAAGAAGGCAAACAACGTAGCACTATACATTGACGTTTAATCACGGGTACCATGTTGACCCGGCTTGTAGGACTAACGTGTCAACTAGTTTCAACTTCAATTGCCGTTTCGCGGCACACTCGTGCGTACCAAACATACATATATATGTATGTGCATACTATCGAAAATATTTCTATGAGATGTGGTTAAATATAGATTGCAAAATATGTATGTTACAACGTATGTTACAACGTATGTTTGTGCGCACGTATATACTCATTCAAATTTATTTTTTATTCTGAAATTCTTATTTTGAAGGAACTTTCAACACTTGCGCGAAATTGAGATTATTCGCATCGAAATTTTTGAGGATCGAAAATGAAAGGTGTGTTAAATCTAAAATTTATGTACAATATATTTTAGATAAGATACACTCGTGAGATATGATCGATAACGTAAGATATGATTGAACAAATATGTGCAGCAAAATCGCTTTTATTTACTTTCCACTTTGATCCTTATTAGAATTTTTGAAAAAAGAAAAGAAATAATTAGATTTATTATGTTTTTCTAGAATACATATATTTTTAATATTGATAAAAATGCATCTTGCGGCTGATATAATAAAAAATAATAGAAGTTTTATGAAATCATTAAGCTTAAATCATATTAGTTATATTTGTTTATAACATCTATTTTATGTAATCTTAAAATTTACATTTTTTTATATGATATTGATATACATATGATTGATAGAGACTACTATTAAATATCACAATGATAACATGTTTAATTTTAGTTATAATGGCGGCACGTGATTTGAAATCGGGAGATGCGATTTATTTTATAAACTTTTGCTTTTATAATCTTGTTGCATTTTTTAACATAATTGTGGGACAACTAATTCTGCAGACAACATTTTTTAAATTTCTACTTCACTAAAAACATTCCTTGTATTTTTTTAAAGTATACAAAAAACTAGTAAGATACATGGATTTTGTATGATTTTAAATTCGTTATTAATTTTGAACGCGAATTCGCTATGCATCGCACTTCGAAGTTACTGGTATTATAACAATATCTTTTCTTCAATTTGAAAGATGTTAAATCGAAAAAAACGCTTTTCGAGATATATATCCTTTCGTAATTGTTTGATATCTAATGAAATGTTACAGTAAAATTACTGATAATTTGGCGGCAGGGTGTCTCTATTTTTACTGGCAAAGTAAGCTATTTTTATGCCAAAAGAAGTAAAAACACCAATTATAAAAATACAACGCTTGGGGAAAAAATGTATATCTCGAAAAACGCCGTTTGAACGAGCAATTCCACATTTTGTTCGTTTTGAACCACTCTGGCGGTTTCAGTGTTAACTACGGAGTTACCTACGGTGTTACGCTTTGTGTACAATGTCAAGCGTAACAAGAAGTACGCAGTTGGCATGCGTAGTCGTTGGCCAATCGGAGAGAAGAGTTTGACGCGTATCATGCGTACAAGCGTACGTATGTACGCGAACAGCAGTCAGTGTGGTTAGAAGTAACGGACGAGCAGAGAGTGCGATACACGTCAGGGCTCTTATTTTGATTCGTGGAGGGGGCTCACCTCGGGAAAAACGGGCGGCCGAGTCCGAAGGATTTGCTAGGGAAAGGTGAAGGATACGACGATAAAATATGATACATGCTGGAAATGGGGATGTTGTGTATTTGGAACAGCTAGGAAATCCGATGGAGAGTGACACAACAGAGAAGGCAGTGTCAAAAAAGTGCGAGGGGCAGCTGTCTTCGATAAAGGCAAACAGCTGTTCATCCTACAAAAGTGCAAATCGTACGACAGAAATGGCACACGAGGACAATAATCTGAACTGGAACAATCTTCCCAGCATCATTCTGCAGGAAATATTCTCATATTTGCCGTACAACTGCCGGTTACGAGCCTCCCAGGTATTCTTGACTTCTTTTTTTTTGTCCTCTTCTTATTTCAAGGCCGTTTAAGTTCTGACCCGACACAGTGGGTAATTACAACCACTCTCTGTGTTGTGGTTCGTTTTTCCCCCTCCTTTGTTCGCTGTATCGTTTGAATATTAGTTTTGCAAGCATTGATCTTAAATTGGTGTTTTTTTTTTATTGTTTCTGTACTATACGTGTGTCTCGAAAGTGACACAGTTCAAACAAGGAGAGAAGAGAAAAGTGAGAAACTGGAAGTGTACACTTACTGTTAAACGTATGACGTTGGCAGTAAGAGCAGAATTAGGAAACAATTGTTGAATATTACTTTTGTAGTTTTCCATTCTCTGGTTTTCATGTTTCTCTAATGCAGGACTGAATTTGAGTTTAAATACATATATAGTGATATGTTTATCATTTGTTTCACCCCTGTATATCAACAAATATCTTTGTTTTTGTGACAGTGATATGTTTCAAAGTTTATGAGTTTCAAAATCAAGAGAATGATTTACTTGTGTTAATTTGTATAGGTTTGCAAAAATTGGAGACATGCTCTGTTTCATCCTCATTTTTGGAAAAAGATCACATTCGTCTTAAAAGATGAAGATAGTGTAACGTGGACTAGGTAATGCAAAGTTCATTCATGCACATGTAAAATTTTTAAGCGTCCGAGGCTTCATTTCTAACATTGTTTCTGTTTGCAGATGCTTGGCAAGCAATTTTGAACTTAGTGTGCAAGAAGTTACAATCATCTGTGATATATCAAATTACTGTGCGAAAGAGACATTAGCTCTCTTGAAAAAATTAAGATACAACAGGCAACTTCGTAAATTGTTTTTGGACCCTAGCAATAGTACATTCGACTGTGAAGATAACACAAAATGGGCGTTGGTTAATTCTCTCATAAACATTATAAAAAAATCTGATCATTTAGAAGCTTTGAGTTTAGGATGTATAGAAGATTTAACAGGGAGCGCTAGGCAAATTCTTGTACATCTTCGTAACTGCCAAGCAAAGCACCTAACAACTCTTAGTTTGGCATCAGTCAAGGATGATCCTGATGATTATAACGTTTTAAATTCTGGTTATGGACATATGTTTAATTCGTTCACCAAACTGTCTATTTTAACGTTGGATTATGAGTTCTTGAGCAATTCTTTGCTAAAGGCATTGAACAGCGGTACCATGGAAAGACTTGTAATTCATGTGCATGGCTGGCATTATCAATATTCGGGACCAACTGATAGTAGTTGGCAGACATTTGTTCAAAAAAAGTAAGTAAATTTAACATTCTAGCGAAACTAGAAATAACGTTTCTTTAATTTCAGTCCAAAATGCGAGTTGCGACTAAATCTTATACACTCTTATGTTGGTATTGAGAAATTAGACACAAACATACTTCGCCCTTCCATGCCTCTTACACATTTAAAAGTGTTATTTTGTGAAAACGTTAATATCAGAGCGTTACATCGACTATCCAGGTGGTATTCGCTTACTTTAAAATCTTTAATATGGATCGACTCGGTACAACCTTTAACGAGGAACATACCAGCAACGTATGATCCAAATGATCCTCATAGGTAAGACGCGTTATTTTATATTGTAATTTTGTCTTTGAACTGTTTTGATTGATGAATAAATTTATCATTCTGCTGCAGCCCTGATCCATTAGTATTAGTTGCATGGAAGTGCACCAAACTTGTGGAACTTGTATTCATAGGCCACAATTATCATCAAGAAAATTTATTAGCTATTGCACGCCTACGTGGAGACTCGCTTAAATCGCTAGTATTTGCACAAAGATTCATTGCCTCTGATACTGAATCTTGGCATAAGGCTGAAACTATCACACATGTAAGTTTCTGTCTCCAGCATTTCCAAATACGTATTTCGATTTTGATGACGAGTCTATCATGTCTTATTATTATTTATTAAATCATCTCCCGATCCTTCAATTGATTTTTAATTACGTAGGAAATAAAAGAAATAATGGGAAACCAATGGGAACCACTAAGTGATGCAGATTTACCTGCAGTTGTTAAAAATCCTTTCGAAGGTGATAGCAGGGAAGTTATCATGCCATTGGTCCTTCGTGACCAAAAGTAAATTTTTATTTGTACCAACGAAACATTACTTCCCGATACCGTACATTACCGATCAACGTACATCGTCAACAATTTCTGGGCGAGCTACATTCTCAGAAGTAACGTTATATCGTTATATCCTTTATTTTTCTATAAGAATTGTTTTTACGACAACTACGAAACAGTGGATATGTGTAAAATCGTAGTTTAAAGTCAGTAACTGATGGATACAATATTGCCTACCAGGTAAGAATCACACAGTTCCAATGTGTAAACAGCGAGGGCAAAAGCGCACACAAGTTCTCCTTTGCAATGATTTTATTAATTTTCACGAGAACATGATAAGCCATAGTTGAATACGTCTTGTTTATGTCTTGTGTAAGATGATAATCTAAATTTAGTACAAGTCATCCCCTATCTTTGTTTATCAAAATGAAGATCGAAAGTTTTCGTTGGTTTTCCCTATGAAAAACCTTTCGTGTAGTCGCGTTTTCTTGCTAACAACGGTGGTCTCAAAACGATCAAAATAAGAGAGTTATACGTAACAATGAAATGATCGTTCCTCTCATCGATGAACATTAGCGGGGAGAAAGAGTATACATATGTAACATACGAGTATAACGATATTCTTAATAGATACTAAGAACGAAACACTTACAAGATAATGAAGGTTTCATCAATGCGGACCTCCGATGATGTGATGTTATCACGGGAAAATAATCTCGAATGTGTGAAGGTGAATATGTTACTACCAATGAGAAGCGATTATTATATGAAACAGAAGTGAAATGGGGAAAATTGAGACTAAATGAGAGAGAGAGAGAGAGAGAGAGAGAGAGAGAACTAATCTCATGATGTTCCATTGGAAAGCGTAACGAAATTCCAAATGTATGTAAGTAGAAACATGTTAACAAATATTTTTCCAATTCTATGGGAAATTTAAATCGAAGCGAGCGCCAAGAGCATGCAGTGTAAGAAAGAGCAACCAAATGAAAAGAATGAGATATGTTGAACTTCGTAAAAAAGAGAGTTTGTGATCGAGTTGCACAGATAATACAAAAGATGCACTCATAAGTAAGAAATCGAATAGCGATCCGAGGTTATTTTTAATACCAAAACCAATCGGACGCTCTTGTACAAATATTAAGCGAACGTGTGCCGAAAAGAGTGCGGTTGATCTGGTGGTACATACAGTTTAAAACACACATCAAATACACAAACGTATGCGTATCACATTAATAAAAGAAGTAAAGGAGAGGAAGAGAATATCGATGATGCTTAATGGAATTGTGCGACCTCGAAGTACCGTCTTTTCACCGTGCTCTTAGCGACCGCTGAAAATGAACACATTGATATAGGTTTATCTATAAAAACAAATCAGAGAAATTAGCTGCTAATCGTGTATGTGTATATGTATGTATATCTGTATTATCTATCGAATTTTAAACGTTAATATTCGGATGCCGCATGCATCTATTTCTGTCGTGCGATTAATAATGACGACTTCGATGGTTAAACGAAAATATGAAAATGAAAGGGAACGATCCGTAACACAAAGAAAAATACCAAAACAGCACTCTTATACAGTTTATTATTCTGAGAAGTTATTTACTTTTTTTTTTTT